ATAGTATTTGTAGATATTCAATAGTTATATTATGCGTTAAATGTCAAGAATATCATATATACCTATTATACGTATCCTTATTTTATGGCGGTTAAAGGTTAAAGTTTTGAAATTCGGTGTAAATACTATATTTTATGAAAATAGAGGTCCCATTCGATTAATGCATAGAATGTTATTTATTTTGCAGTTTAATTTTCTATGACCAAACTAAGCATAGCTAAGAGTATAGCACTAGCGGTATTACATTTTTTTACCATTAACAATTTGGACAAGGTGTCTAACAAATAAATAAATAATAACAAACTTGACAGTGCGTGTAAAATAAAGCAAGATGTATCTAAAAATTGTTTGGAAACTATTTAGCTGTGTTTTAGTAATAATTTAAATGACACCAATCGGAAAGTATAATATAGGTACTCTACCAATTAAAAAGAATTTTCCAAATTCGTTCATAAATAAACGGAGTTCTACAAAACTAAACACAGGCAACAAAAATAAAAAACTACCGAATTGAAAACCTTTACTTTTTTTGAAACAGGTTAAAATGTAACTTTTTGTTACAACCGTTATATAGGTACCTATAAGCCAATTACACCGACCCCAAATAAATTTGGGAAAAGAGTAAGATGATGATGTCATTGTGGTATTATGGTGAGGACAGTATTTGTTCTATACACATAAAATAGTTAATGCAAATGAAATGTCTTTACAATACAAATAATACAGTTGCGCTTTTACAAGATCGTTGAAGAGTATAAAATGGTAAGTAATCATCACATCAACAGCCTTTAATAGTCCACTGCTGGACATAGGCCTCTCCTTAGAAAGGAGGTTTTGGCTTAATATACCACGCTGGCCAGACGGGTTGGTATAGGGTTTGTCGGTCGACGCCGTGTTGCGCCTGAGGGCCGTGACCGAAGAGGCCGTGAGCTGTGGCGGCGTGCTGTTGGCGGTGTCACTGGACATCGCCAACGCATTCAATAGTCTGCCATTCAGCTGCATCAGGGAAGCACTCCACTATCATGGGGTGCCAAAGTACCTAAGGCGGCTGGTGGCAGACTATTTAGAGGAGCGTACCGTCGTGTACGAGGACCGAGAAGGTAATCTGAGGTGTCGGCCCATGTCGTGCGGTGTTCCACAGGGGTCTGTTCTTGGACCCCTCTTGTGGAACATAGGGTACGACTGGGCCCTTCGCGCCGATTTCCCCCCCGGGCTGGGTGTAATCTGTTACGCAGACGATACCCTCGTGACAGCCCGGGGGGCAAACTTCCAAGAGGCGGCGCGCCTGGCCACAGGGGGAGTCTCCCTGGTGGTCGGGCGCATTGAGGCGCTGGGCTTACGGGTGGCCCTAGATAAGACGGAGGCCCTGTTATTCCATGGGCCCCGTCGTGGTCCACCCCCTGGCGCCTCAATCGTGGTCAACTCGGTCCTCGTACCGGTTCGGGCCCAGATGAAATATCTGGGCCTGATCCTCGACGGGAGGTGGCTCTTCGACGAGCACTTCCGACAGCTTGCTCCAAAGCTGGTCGGCGCTGCGTCTGCCCTAGGGCGACTTTTGCCCAATATGGGTGGACCCAGCGTCGCGACAAGACGGCTGTACACGGGGGTTGTCCGGTCAATGGCACTGTACGGTGCACCGGTGTGGGCGGCGGCTCTGACCGCCCAGAATAGGGTACGCCTCTGGCGCCCTCAGAGGGTAATGGCGGTCAGAGCCATACGCGGTTACCGCACCGTTTCGACGGAGGTGGCATGCGCATTGGCCGGAACTCCCCCGTGGGATTTGGAGGCGGAAGTGCTCGCCGAAGTTTATCGGCGAGTGGCTGACTACCGGGCGGAGAGCGGATTTCGCCCTCCGCCCGAGGATGTGCGCGAGTGGCGCGAAGCCGCTCGCCGAGCCACGATGGCTCGTTGGTCGTTCCGGCTGGAGACTCCACGCGCTGGCTTCGCCGCCGTGGAGGCTCTCCAGCCGGTCATCGCCGAGTGGGCAGGGCGGCAGCACGGGACCCTTTCCTTCCGACTGACGCAGGTGCTTTCCGGGCACGGTTGCTTCGGAAAGTACCTGCACACGGTCGCTAGGAGGGAACTGAGTCCCGCCTGCCACCACTGCGACTGCAGTGAGGACTCGGCCCAGCACACGCTGGCGGTCTGCCCCGCATGGGCGGCGCAGCGCCGGGCCCTCACTGCAGTCATCGGAGTGGATCTCTCGCTACCGGCCGTAGTACGCTCCATGGCCGGTAGCGACAGTTGTTTTACCGCGGTCGCAACCTTCTGCGAGGTAATAATCTCGCGGAAGGAGGCGGCGGAGAGGGCCCGGGAGGACGACCTCCACTCGGACCCGATCCGCCGCCGGCGAACCGGGCGGCGGAGGCCCGCCTACCACAGCCTCATGCCGCCCTGAGTGTGGCCGCGGGTGGACGGGGTGGGTTTCCCCTCCACCCGCATTAGTTGGCCAGCCGCGAGGGGGCGGCGTCCGCGTGTGCCGGACGTCGCCTAAAGAGAGGAACATCTACAATGAGACGGAGCCCGCACCAGGAGCGGGCTGGCGCTAGGAGGGGTCCGGATGTCTTAACAACAGCTGTTCCCGGATCCCTCCTGTTACAGGCGCAGAGTGGCACACCGTGTGGTTTTAGTCGGTCCGAGTCCGACACACCACCCCGCCGCAAACCCCGGAGGGGTGACGGTCCGAGGGGATTTCCACACGTTAAAAAAAAAAAAAAAAAAAAGGGTTTGTGCCAAGTTTTCCTTCTCTTTGTGCTGTTGTTTTGCGTAGTTTGCTCCCTCAGCCGCCTCTTACGACACCCACGGGATGAATTGGGGTGGTGACACTCCGTATTCTTAATCCGTCACCACACGGCAGAATCAATCATACATTACCATAAAAGTATTGAATAGATTTTAGTTTTTGTTCTAGTTACGGTCCATGTACTGTAAACTGTACGTAGATATTGTTTCTAGGTGTGTGGGTTGTATCGATGAATATGAAGCCTATCAACAGTCAGCCCGTGCCAGTAGAACATTGACCTGTTTCAACTCAATTGATTTAAAGGTTTTCGCTGACATACGTCTTTTTATACAGAATAAATTTACATTTGGGTCAGAAATATTAATACCATAATAAAAAGACTAACTAATAGCATAATTGTTTATTTTTATGTAATATTTTAAGTACCCATATCTCCCTTTTTCCCCCTCAAATATCCGCCAAAGGAAGACCGGTGGAATGGTTACGTCGGACTTGAACCGACTAAAAACGCATGCCCGCCGTCTCAGCACCAGTAACCAGGTTTAACCTAGAAAGGATATCTATGTCTCCTTAAAATAAAGTTAATATAAACAGTGTTTTGTTACTGAGTCCTTCTATTAAAGTCGACTAAACTCAAGACAATAATGCTACATTACTCGTATTGTTAGACTAGACAATGTCCCAATACTTTATCAAGAGTGATATATTTTGCATAGTTCTGTTTAAAAATAGTTATGTACCTTCTTTTAAATTCATTTAAAAAGGACTAATAAACAAAATAATTAAATTTATATAAAAAAATCCAATTCTTTTTTACGAGAGACATTTATAAACCTACTACTTAAATGTATACGAGTATAGTGATGATGTTCGTAATTTTAGATACTGTTGTTTACCATGTATACATACATACATACTTGTATATGAATACATTTAATGAATATTTGGAGTTCAAAACATGTCTGCCACGAAGACTAAATGCCTTATTTGTTCGAATGACCAAGTGCAATTACACCTGCGCCAAGGACATCTTTAAAGGCCGCTGTGAAATTAAAACGATAAGCGTCACGTTTATCGGTCAAACTAAACATTAAAACATCGATTACTCCTATGTGAGGTTTAATGTACACATAACAAACTAGCTGGTACTTCGTTTGCGGCGAATTTAAAAAGCGCTGCCTTAGTGGGTGCAATTCCCGAACCGGGCAAAATTTTAAAGGGTTTTCTGAGAGGAAAATAGTCTAAGTTACTCCTTATTTAGACAGCTACCTGGCAGTAAAATATTATCAAAATCGATCCAGGCATTTAGAAGATTACCGGGAACAAACAGACAGACAGACAGACCGACAGACAAAGTGGTTCTTAGGCATAGGTATCGTGCAAATAATCGTGTGAGCATGAAAAAAACCCTGTTATTTTGACACTATAAACAGACACTTTAATTTTATTTATTTATATAGATATGTTTTATTCTTCTTACATGTGATCAGATACTCATAATACGTAAGAGGAGCAGAGTTCGTTGCCCTGTGAAACTTGTATAATAATATCATACCTATAGGCGAAAGCTAAAAAGTTATTATGATCAAGCAATATTAAAATCAAGAAAACTTCCATCCTGGTTTCACAGACAGCGTGAAGGCATGGTGGTGTAAGCGGTCACCTCGCTGCTTTCTACTGCGCTGAGTGTTGTGGGTTCGATACCCATATGGTAAAATAAATTGTGTGATCGACAAGTTGTTGTTCTGAGCTGGGTGTTCATTGTGTACTCATGTTTGTCAAGTCCCCCGCGATACAGGATATTATTATATTCCTAGTGCAGGAATTTTCTTTTTAAAACACATAACAAATACTTAAAGATACATTGCGAATTCCTAATTGTACATATGTAAATTATAAATGCCCTCTAGACTTGTTTGTACACCGCGATAGGTGAATTATATCGTTTGCAATGATATTTTTTACAATATACAAAGAGAGTATATAAAATCATTGGACGTTTGTGTTACGTCGAAAAAATCCTAATTTGAAAATATATAAAACAGGTTACAGGTCAATGATCAATGACTTAAAACATCTGTCTGTACTGGTTCGAAGTGAAGCCTTTTAGGTATGTAGTCTTATTATTATTGTTACCAAATTAGAACGACACCTACACAACTGGTTCCCAGCCCGTAAATCTTGTTTTGCATTTTGTCGATTCAATTTCCGTTCAAGGGGACATCAGGCAAAAGCACAGCTGAGGCGCGGCAATAGCATGGCGTCTGCATTTTTTTTCTACAGCATTGGATATCGGTGGGAGAGATCTCAGCGCGCGCGCCAGAACGGCCGCGCGCCAGTCAGCCGCCGCTCCCCGCCGCGCGCGCGTGTTTTATCAAAAAGTAACGTACACCTGCCGGTAAACAGCCGCACAACGACCGTTATCGCCCTAAATGACCACCTAATGGACGAACGAAGAGGTAGTCCATGCATGATTGTGCTAACTTAGTGTAAACTTGCCCGTGGAGTGCAGTGTTGTGTTGATGTACCAATGGAGGAGGTCCAGATATCGGATTGGCCTGAGCCTCCGGGTTCCCATGCATGGCTCCCTGCTTATGGTTACCAGCATGATTTAATGGATAAGGATGACTATTTTGGCACCAATGGTGAGTGCCAGTCGTTTAGCCTAGACCTTTTGTGTATTTAAAAGTAATCTGAATGTCATGTTGTTATGTTCGGCGCAGTCGTGACTGTGCCGTGGCCTGTGGTAAAACAAGCTGTTTTGGTATTCTGAAATAACTGCAGATTGCTTTATGTATAACTTTAATGAACGTACGAAGTCATTTCTGTCACTGCCTTGTGTCAACCACTTTAAAAGTTTACATTGACGTTGGCATACGCTGTTGCCCGTTGTAACTCTTTTCCCTTAATATAATTGGATCGCTATCTGATCTGTCGTTGACCCAATCTATTCCAAAACAGCGCTAGCTAACTGAACCACGGCTGTAAGTGGCAAAAAATGGGTTCGTTTATTTTGCAATGTTTTTGTGTTGATGTTGACTCACCCGCATCGTGTTGAAAGTTCACTGACAAAGTTCTTCTTAACTAATATCATAGTTTCTGTCTGTCATTGAAAGAAATACGGAAGTTCTTGACAATCACTATTTAGTTGAACTGTTCTGTTGGCTGCATTTGAATTACAGCATGATTTGCAAGCGTCAAACAGTCCAATTACCTGTCAAATTGTTGCACAAGAACAATGCGGTATGAATACCCTGTTTTAAGCAACTCATTGTTCAGTTTATCTCAGATAAGAGTGTCTTAATGAAACTAATAATTACTTTATACATATTAAGATAACAATGGGTGTAGCTGGTCGATGTAGTAACCATAAGTCATTGAAGATATTAGAAATATTCATACAAAAACTTATTTAAATACCAATCCGATCAATAAAAGGTTTAAGACTAAATTTTATTAAAGGAAAGTTGCTAGTATACATTATGTAGAGTTATTTAAATTTGTAAAAGAAATAATGTAGAGTGCTATTAATATTCATGACGGAGTTAATGCTGAGTTACAATCGGTGTCGTGCGTGTTTATATCACGTTATTACAATAATCTTGTCGCCATATCATTTTAATATGTTGATTTCATGCTTTTCATATATTGTAACCCAGACGATAGTTAGATAGCTGGAATAGGCATTTAAAACAGGTCTGACTTGGAACAGCAATGCTAATTTTATTGTAGTTTATGTGAAAGCTAGCGCACCATGTCAACGGCTTAATCCTCAGGTGTTCCAAAGGGATCTATTCTAGGCCCATCTTTTACAACCCCGGTTTTATTTGTTACCAATTTGTTTAAAGAAATTTTGAATTGAATACCCTAAGAACACTATTATAATTGTATTTATGCAATTCATATAATAATTCTGTCTAATACAAGCATGTTCGGAAGGAATGTACCTACCTACCAAGCGGCAATTTGAAGACAATCTCAAGGTTTTAATTTTAAAAGAAAATAATAACGATAGTTTATATTATTAGTAGATTATACGTTTACAATTACGTTTACCATCTTAGAAAGAATGTGGGTACATAATATTAACAACATACTTTTATGTTGTTAATATTATGTACCCACTAAATTTATTAATGAGTTTAGACACAACTAAAATTGCAATATATATCAAATTTCGCAAAATATACAATTGTATACCTACTTTCAATATACTATCGAATTAAATGCAAGAAAATTGCACCACATAACGTTTGTCGATGGCGCGTAAGTTTTTTAAGCAATGTGATATGACACGCATAGGTATCTAGACTTTTATTGTTAAGAAAGTTCTCGTTATCGATTGATTATGTTTGCATTTACATAATGCTATGCGTAAGTAGGTATTCTGATATCAACTAATTAGCAGTTATCTTTGTATTATCGTTTTTACCTACCTTGTTTATAACACTTATAATTGTCGTACGCAATTGTCTAAATTTTTTAGTCCATTTTGATTCCATTCTAAACCATGTTTTTGTTTAAACTGTATTAAATAACGGTTTTAAAACGTATATTCTTACCAATTTGAACTTGAGCCTGAAAGACAGTTAAGGAAATTCATTATTTTAAAACTTAATAAAGCTGAACAGTTTTATGTTTATTTGTTTAAACGTGTTTAGTGTCCGGAACTAGTGTAGCTAGAACTGCAGGGAACGATATAATATTATACAAGTATTTAAGCAAGTATAAATAACTACCTAGGGTAGAAAAGTTGGAGAGACTAATAGAAAAGTACCTTTACTGTATTCAAGTTATCGTGAGCCATCACTTTTACTTTATAGTATTTCGGAGTTTCAGCGCATAAGTTACACCTCTATGATAAAGTTGTTTAAAGGTCTTGAGAACCTCTAAACATCGAGGGAATTGTGAGCTCATTTGCCAACTCATAAATTTATAGCATAAATGTTGTCACTAAAATGAACAAGGGAGAGTTAAATAAAAAATATTGCAAATACTGTAATAAATGAGTAGAGTTACTAATAAACCTTGTAATTTATTTATCTATAAATCCTTGAGAGTTAGCAAAAACCATTATTAATGTACCCACATCGTTAGTTGCTGTTCAGCCGTTCAAACTTGTTTGGAACTTAAAATGCCCTTCACTATATAAACAAATAATTGGCGTAAAATAAAACAGTGAAGTATGTGTAGTAATATATAATTTACTTATAATTACTTATTAATTATTGGCTAAATAAGTAATAATTGCAGAATCCACTTTATACTTAAATTTGCTGATTACTAAGATCATCATTTTAATTATAATTGTCGAATGTATACGTACATACTAATCAAATTATTATTCATGCTAAGCTAAAATAACATAGGAAGAATGATAATACTAATTTGCAACGACGAGAATTTCAATTAAAACATAAAGAAACATTTTAAGTTAGGACTTTTATGACGGCGTACCGGCTTTCGACCGGCGTTGGTCGGTTGTAAATGCCACATGAGCTCGAGTGTAAAGCATGCGGTTCGACCAGTCCCCCCGCCCTAAAGGTCATTTCTTATCCGTAGGTGAATCGCATGCTTGAGACACAGACTTCATAGAGTCTGGCCTCTAAAAAGCATTGGGATCCCACAGGGATGTGACCTGGGACCTTAATATTCAACTTTATGGAATTTATAGATGTAAATATATATGAAATTAAAAAAAAGTTTTAATTAAATAAGAAAAGTCGTTGTTTAACTACTATTTAAACATTATTTATTAATAGCTGATATTAATTCTCCGCTATACCGTGCAATGTCTTGATGAAGGTTTATTGCTTTCCTGTAATTGACCGTAGATATCATTGCTATCAACTTGAACTGTATTATCTATATTTTGTTTACCGTTTTACGATGTTTTAGATTTCATACTGTACTTTAATTTTTTTATTTTTAGTTTCAGTGCCAGGGTTACAGTTGATTCCAACACCTCGTTATTAAACATTTGTGTAAATATTTATGACTTTATGATTAAAGGCTATCGGCCGTTATATCGTGTTCGTTATTTTAATTGCGATGATGTTGATGCCTCAAGTTATTAAAAACAATAGTATATTTCGCAGTTCAACTTCATATTAAAATTGGTTTGAACCTTGAAGTATCTGTAACCATGAGATAGATTCGATTGTAGAACAGATAAGGTCTGTTGATATTATCGTGAACAGGTGAATGTGCTTTTTATTTGATCAATCATTGTTCTCTTATGAATGTCTGCCTATTTCATGTTCAAGAATATTTCAAATATTTATTGTGTATTTTTAGCCTGTCAAGGAAAGTGTCTGACATGGGTGGACTGAATCCAAATTCATTGTTGAAAACAGTATTTTTGTTTCTTTGTAAATAAGAATATTTCGACGCTCCTAATCAATGACCCGGTAATCAATAATTCCAGTCAACATATGCCGAATTTGACATAACTGCATAAAGCCCATAATAGCACATTACCGAGTTTTTGGTTGGGGGGGGGGGGGGGGGGGGGGGTCAATTTAAACCATTTGTTTTTATAATTAAAGATTATAAGGCATCATAACTTTATTGTTTGCATGCTCAACTGCTCTGCTTCGTTATTTCTCTAACTTTTAATACTTAAACTTCTTGACCAGTACAGAAATGCAAGGAACGATCATATAAACTTAGAAATGCTTGCGAGTCTCCTATCTTTTTAGTATTCATTTCCATTGATTGCATAAACCGCCATCATATGAGTGGCTTATCTGCGGCAGCACTACTGGAGAGATCTTTCTTCTTTTTCTTTTTCTTTTTTTAAAAAGACAACTCCCGCATTAGGAATATATCCTGTGTCGCGGGGGACTTTACAAACATACATGAAACGGACACAAAGAACACCCAGACTCAGAACGACAATTTGTGAATCACACAAAGTGTCGTCCCATGTGGGGTTTGAAACCCACAACACTCGGCGCAGTAGAAAACGGCGTGGCGACCGCTTAAACCACTACGCCATCCGTGCAGTCAATTGTTTGTTTACAGTCATGACCTTATTCCGCTCATATCGACATGGCCCTGGACCTACAATATATATATAACTACCTAACATTTAACGCACAGTCGTGTACGTAATGATCTGTTATGTTATGACAATCTAAAACTATCACCTATTTAATCCGGTCCCTCATTGATAATATTTGTATACATGAATATGACAAAAAATATATTGTAGCATGTTTATGCGCCTTTAAAAACCCATAGTACAAGCAAGCCCTTTTTGGGTTTAGATAGCCTTGAGTAATATTTATGTCCTATATAGTTATAAATTAATATTTATGATTATTTATATTTTACTTTGGAAATGTTATGTGTCGATTTGCATCTAAAATATAACAACGATTCTAAAAGATTCTGTTTCAATGGTATTTAAAATACCTACCATAAATTTATAGCGAAAATTATGTGTACTAACATTTTGGCAAATAAAAATTTATTTATTTATAATAACTCAATGCACAAGTTGTACTCAGACAGACTCAGAAGTTTTTCCCGATGCATTCACTGCCAGTCGATCTTGGTGATGTAGAAAAATGATGCGGTAGGTGCAAGAGAAAACAGGAAACTTGATTTATATATTGATTTTATAAATTAGTCCCAAGTGCGTAATAGGGTCAAGTCAGTTGTAATTAGGCTACTAAAATTAAAGTATTTGAATATGTTGTGATTACTTGTACCTTGACATCATAACTATCACGCATAATAATAATGTTTCACATACATTTATTAATA